ATTATCAATTATTCTACATTTTCATGCCCGGAAACATGTAAAATTTCATTGCATGAACTAAACAATCTCTTTTTCGTTAAAATTTTCTAATTGTCTATATTTTGTGGCAACGAAAGTGTAAAATATTGATACATAAATGAAATAATGTCTCGCATAGAGTCAGTTTAATGTTTAAGTTTAATGCTTAATTTACCCTTTATTTCTAGGTGTAGTTGGAAGTGAAATTTATCCCTTATTTTCAGGTTTAGTTCCAGACAAAATTATTTATCTTTCATTTTCAGGTTTAGCTTTTCGCGTCGATTTTCCTTTTCGACCCTTTTTGCCACTGTTTTGTACAACGATCAAAAATTGAACGTTTTGCAAACGTGCACAAAAAGGGAAATTTATTTGAATGTTGATTAATTTTTACGCGAATGGAGGGAGGATGGGTCGTGGATAGGGTGGGTCTCCATTCGCAGCACCTCCTCGCGGTGAGACCTGGGCAATCGGTATTATTTGTCATATCATTTCTAATTGTTTCACTATAGTTATATCATACATAACTGATAGGTATGATACAATTATGAATGATATAGCAAGTAATACGAGCTAATTGGCTGCGATCTTAGCGTTGGGTATTTTCATCTGTTAAATTAGGGAGAAGAGATCGATAAGGAATTTTTTTGCAATTTACGTTGTTTAGACTTTAGATATAATTTACGTAGGTACATTGCAATTGGAAGTCGAAATCTAGAATCTGTAATCGATATTAGGCACTTTACATGAGCACAATTCTTACAAATTCGTGTCACAATAATCGAAATAGAATGTCTGTACTTACTCACTGTCGATTTTCTTCATCTTCAAAGAAATTTCGTGAATATTTCGACAAAGGCTTTCACAAGTGCCCCCTTTTTTGTCCTAAGTTTTCAGTGAATTTGAAATATCAAATTTCTTATATGTCGGGTCGATAATATAGGAAGCAACACTTTCGATCAACGATAGATCCATTCCTCCAAATATGTCTGTAGGTAATGTTGCAAGGGACTTGGATATGGTAAAGATATTTAAGAATCTGATATTTGATGTCGGTAATATCGAAAACTATATTAAAATTTTACGAATGACGTCTCAAATAAATTACCAGTGATCCAATAAATGAATTTAGATATTTGATGTTTGAAATAGCCATGTAATACGAATCTATTACTTTATTTATCTGTTACTAAAATATGTATCGTGTCTCTAATATTTAAAGTGGTACGTACAGAAATTATATTCAATGTGTTATCAGGATTTATACTGCATTATCGACGAATAGCAATTCGTAAGCTTTCTATTTCTAATAGGTTATCGACGAATGAACATTGGTCTGCTACCTATTTATAATAGGTTATCGACAAATGGAAATTGATATGTTTCTTATATCTTGACTTCCTAGTAAATCAGAACTTTCATAGTATTTCCAACAATTCATAATATAGAGAACTGACTTATCGACAGTTCGGTAAGTTAAATCAGATATTCATTCGTTTATATTTGTATTTACCATTTGACATTCGAATGAAGTTTATTTGCCTTGGGTTCTTTGTAAGCTGTATTCTACATAGTTCACATCTCGTCCATGACAGATGAAAGAATGCGTATAATAGTTTTACATTGATCAAAGGTTTCGAGGCCAAAAGAGAAACATACTTACTCACGTATATTACGTATAATTCGTCAGGTATTTGTTTCTTTAACATCCTTTGCATTTCTGAAAGTTATAGTTTCGAAATAAACTGCGAACTTTCACCAGTTTAAAATAGTTTTACTTTGAAACTGACACCGTTTCGGTTATGTGGTTTTCTAAATACAATTAAAGCTCGCCTGCTACGTGACATTCGATTGCAAATTGCTCGCATATATATATTTACACATGGTTAGTTCTCATTCTCGTGGTCCGGTCCAGTGATTTAATCTCTCGTGTCTTTGCTCTTTGTGCCAGGTGGCGCCACGTATACCGTTCCAACGTCACCAGAGTGACTTTAGTTAGGTTTCCCGTACGTTTTTGGCATTTTCATTAATAATTTTTCCAATTGCACCGAGAAAAGCTTTAATAAAAGAATGATCATGATCGACCTACCAATTCGCGAGTTCCTTTTACGAACAAGTACCAATTGTCAGCACGATCCTAGGAAACCTAAGTGGCTACTGTAAGGCGTCTTGGACCGGAAAACGATTCGAGTTATTACAGTAGATAACTTTTAACAATTTTTTTCATGGTTGATTACCGATATTACATCGATAACATTGAGAACTTTCGAATATATTATTAAGTCTGTAAATACGTATTTAAAGCTAACAAAGTGAGAATATTAAGGCTCAAATTGCATAACATAAGATAACGTGCACTATGCCAAGGAAAAATATCATATACGTGTGAACTATCACGAATGCAATATCATTGCCTCGTGTTTGTAAACCTGTCAATTTTCTGGAAGCAACTGAACGACAACTGAGACGATTTTGCACCCTATTTATTCTATTATAATTATACCATTCCACTGAATCATCACAAACATGAGTTCTTGACAACGGGTCTTTAAATATTTTTTAATATTTTTATTGGGCCCCGCAAACTGGCAGAGAGTGAAGCCCAAAGTCATAGATTTCCATGATCTGTGCATAGCTAGTCCAGAAAGCATAAAAATGGAGTCCAGCTCCGACTTTGGGCGAAAGAGTTTTTGGGACACGACGAACTTGGAGGAAAATAAAACAAATTGATCATAGTTACCGAAAGCGAGGCTGTCAACCTACTCTTATGTTCTTTCGAAGTTCGATACGTCGTATTTAAATATTTGATAACATCTGCTCGTGAAATGTTCAATTGCAAATAATATATTTTCTAGGCAAACTGAATAAACCCTTCAGAATGAAACGTGAACGTCCCCTTCGAAGGCAAGGAGGTGAGAATCACTGTACATCATATTTTGACATACAAAATCGTTTATTCATATAAAAGGACACTTTATACTAGCACGTACTGTTAAAACTAGCCTACTTCCATACAGTCGGGTCCACCGAGGTACCCTCGGCTCGCTCGTTTCTTTTATGTATCACATATTATCATACGCGGCAAACGATAACGGATTATGCTGGGAATAATGCTGACAACTGTCACTGTGATCATCATAGTCGAGTACAAACGAAAGAAGAAAAAGAAACTAGAGAATAAAGGGAAAGATGAAATGAAACGTCTGAGAAATCCACCACGAGCATTGTTGAGTATATTCGCGTACTGTGCGTCGTTAATCCTCTCGCTATTCACAGCATGATCAATTTTAATCTTCATCCGTGATCAATCTGATCAATTCTGATCGACATCCAGGATCAGTTTAATCATTGTTCGTCCACATGCGAGATCAATTTGATCGATTTTAATCCACGCTTCGTTTCCTCCCTAGATCGATCGCTGTTACATCGAAGGACGCTCAGGCGACCTAGTAAAAATGGTCGCGCGAAGACTTATTGGCACTTTAGATAAAAATTGGTCATTCTGTGCATAAATATCATGCATTTATATTTATATATAATATTTATATATATAATATGTATAAAGTCGCGAGGCTCGCTGGCGTTGGCAGAGATCACGTCCGTCAATGGATCAATCGGTCGACAGGGAGGATTTTCACCAACGCCAAGCCCGCGTCAATTAATCAATTAATTACATGCATCCTATGTGTTCACCATAATCGATATTATCTTATGTTAGAGTTATACATGTATATCATATAAACGTTCCCTCTTAACGCTCGATGCCTCGTCAGAATCGACAAGCTGCCGCCACGAGTGTGAAGTGGATATTAAGATAAATACTAGGCTCGACTAATTACTAGGTTCGTTAGCTTAAGACAGAGCCGATTCCCGTTGCGCGTAAGTACTAAATTATTGATTGCTTGGCGCAACTGCTGGTCCCATCGATCCTCCAATTCTCGACAGGACCCACGAATTGGCGAAAAACGAGTTCAAAAGCGAGCTCATTCCGACCGCCAGGAGAATTAGAGGCTATTAAATGGCTATTGAAGTTTCGTCGAAGGGAAAGGTAAAAATTTCGTTTCGTATATGCTGGATTTTAGGTGAGTCGCGGTTTAGCCAATCCCCCCTGGGGGGATCCTGATCTGGTTTAACGTTTTCCAGATGAAACGCGTGAGGTGGCTACCCGACCGTGTGAAACGTACAAACAGTGGCTGGTCCAGGTTCTCAAGGAATAGAATACGCGGAGGAAAGTGGACAAAACTGGGTATTCGAGTCCATTCGAGTACTATCGTCGAGCACTATGGATCGACACGTGGAGTTGCGAAGGCTGTGTGAGGAGGAACGTGATGTAGAAATTTAACGTGAATCAGAAATTCGGTTAACACGTTAAACGTCACGCCGGTTTTACGTGCCCCTCTGTTTACGTCGCAGTTAGCCCTCATGCGGGTCCTAGGGACCAGCGTGGCATTTAACGTGTTAATAAAAATAAGGATTCCTTGGTTCTACTCTTGGACTAGGGCCAAGTGATTCGATATCCGTGAAAAATATTACTTCCCCTCGAATAAATGATTTTTTAAAATGGAAGATATCGATTTCTTTTATCGTAGAACGTCGAATTAAGCAGATTCCTTTGGAAGATCGAAGAAATATCTCGCTGCCCAGTTTTATCCCGCATTTTCCTACTATTTTGAAAGCGAGAAACGTATTCTACCGATCGATCAGCCAGAATTATCTTAGAGATCCTCTCTATGGATCCGGATTTTATATCGAACACGTAAATTGGCGTTCGAAGCCTGGGTCGAAGAATGATCTACTGCTACGAATGGGTTTTTCGAAACGTGATGACATGATCGAGTTTCGAAAATTCCATAGTTACTTTCGAACCCAATCCTAGTTCCTGCGTTGATCCAACTGCTTATCCACGCACCCCATATCACACGGTGCACGCGAGGAAGACTTTGGTGAAACGAGGGACAAGCTTTCTTCTATTCACTTGAACTTTATTATCGACGTGTTCCTTTATGTAAAGATAATCTTCGAGACAGTGACAGTAGTAATATGGCCACTTGTATCACGATCGAGTTGCCATATGGAAGCACTATGGTTACAATGCGTTTGCTAATCCGTTTGCTCAAAATGGACAGAGACGTTGCATCCCCGTCCAGCATCGTGTCCTTCGTCTCGCGTGTAAGAATCGCCCTGGCGACTGTTCGTCCGCGTGTACGAATGGCTAAGCCGAACGAACGCTTACAGAAAATGGCGGCGGGATTTCGCTCGATGCCAGGAAGACGGAACCTCGACCTCGTGGTCTAACGTTGGATTATAAATTACAGACACATTACTGCGCGTTATTCTGTGCGACGATGATAGCGTTCGTTCCGTTAAACCTAGAACGGCCCCATGTTCCGGAGTCTCAAAGCGTTTCTGACGATGTTCCACATTCGGCTCCCCGTTGCTCGTTGACTACCACGTTCCTCTCATACCTGAATTCCGCGCGCGTCAACGGTTAATGGCTTAGCAAAACGTTATCAAATTCTAATTGACTGTTTACGGATAATCGCGGGAGTGAAGGGGGAACACGTTCTCCCGTAGATCCGCAATGAACCCCGCGACACTTTGAGACTAGAGAACGAAGAACGATCGTCGTAACTGATAATTAATATACTTTCGTACAAACGTATAGAGCATCGTTAAGTGTTATTATTTTAGGAGGGTACAGTGTGTATAAAGAATCGTATAAATGTATATATTTATATTTATATATATATATTTATATATATATGTATAATGACGCCAGCTCGCCGGAGAAGCAAATTCGCGATCGGTCCTCCGCGCGAGCCGCTGTTTGAGCTTTGAGATACGCGTACCTTTCGTCTTGTCTTTCCTGCTTCTCCTCTCTTTTTTCTCTCTTTCTCTCTCTCTCTCTCTCTCTCTCTCTCTCTTTCTTTCCCTTTCTCACCTTTTATCATTAAACGTATAAATGTACCATGCACACACACGCACGCACACACGCAGGCGCGCGTGCTCGAGTACGATCTCGGTTTATTGCACGGATCGCTCGCGATAAGGGGAGAAGGAATTTCGCGAGCGTTACACGTATGTCGGTATATCACGTACGGGTTGGTGAGGAAGACGAGGATCGCGAGCCCCCTGTTGGAGGAAACTCGCGGAGCGAGAAGTAATTGGAAGAGAGTGGTCGGGCAGTAAGTCGAACCGTGGAACGACGTCGAATCAACGGTCTGCGTTGGTCGTCGAAGTACCTGTCATGGATCTTGAAGGGTTTCATGTCCACCGATCGTACTCGAGCACGCGTGAACGTCAGCAGACGTGGGTAAATGTGGACTGATCGTTAGCGCACGACGCGTGCCAGCCAAGGAACGATCTGGGTCTATCGCGATCGTACGGCGGATCGCCGTGGATCATCGTCGTTCGAGATTTTACAGTGGTATTACAAGAGCAACGTACAGTGGCGCCACGCGTCTCTCGCCGCGCGAACTAATCCTCGCGCCCTCGATCGTACGTGGGAAACCAGCGGGACTCGGAGTCGGGCGACGGATCACGTGGTTGTCCCTCGTACGATCTCGTTTGCTGTTACAATGTCACTGTAAGCGAGAAATCGTTCCGCGTGTACCAAGGATTTCTATATTTTCTTCGCTTTTCTTTATTTATTATTATTCTTTTTTTGGTCGCGCTCGACTGAAACGCTTTTATCGTTTGTATCCCATCACCACATTTAATTCCTAATGACGATCCCTCGGGTAAAGCTGAAACGACGATGATCGCGGCCATGATCAAGCGCCTGTCTGGCTGTCACGGAACGAAAGTTTAGTGCCGCTGTTGTCGGCACTGACGAAGGCACAGTCATAAGTCTCGTACGTTCAGCAACTTTTTTCCCATTTTCTTTTTTTTTTGTGTTTTTTTGTTTTTTGTTTTTCTCCATAATCGCTTCTCCCCCGCCGATAACCATCGTTTTTATTGGTAAAAAAGAAAAAAAAAAATGGCGTGAGACGTGGAACTATCACGAAATATTTCTCCGTTAATATCCCCTCCCGTTCCACCGGTTTGCTTCTTTCTGTTTCACGTTTGGCACCAAAAACGAGCCTTGTTTTACGTAGCTAAATTCTTCCTTTCTTTTTTCCCTTTTCTTTCTTTCTTTCTTTTTTTCTTTCTCTCTAGTCCATTCCATTACACGTGCTCATCGGTCTCTTTCTCTCTTTCTCTCACTCTCTATTCCTAATCTCTATTCTCATTCTTCCTCTCTTTTTTTTTTTTCTTTATATAACATAATATAATATTATAATATAAACGTTTACGGTTTTGGCCACTCAGTTCGTGATCGCCGAAGCACATTACAGTCTGTGTTCCGCGACATTTAGATAGTTTAGAATATTTGTTTTAATTCACTTTTATACAACACTGATCCTGCTCCAGACTTCCTTGTGCGTGTGCTTGTTAGACGGATCCCCGGGATCGTGTTGGCCGGCTCATCTCCTCCTTCTGGCCGTGGCTGCCGCGATCATTTGCCTCAACATCGGCTCCGGGCTACACACTCGTGGATCACACTTCATGTTACCGTCTCCGCCACAACTGCAATTTAAAATTTCCCCATGAAGAATGACAATTGGACAATTTTCGCGAGCCAGATTCACATCACGGTCGTGATAGGTATTACGTCTGAATTATATCATCGTTGCGCGTTCGGGAAAAGAAGGCACAGCACAGATTTACATTCTCGGTGTTTACAGCGACCGATGACACAAAGATGTCACCATCTTTGGCTAATAGTAGTCACTGCCTGTGATTATGGGAGTGTCAGTGAAGTTAATCAGGATGTAAACACGTTGTGCCTTCTTTTCTCGAACGCACTATACTTCACTGTTCCTCCATCCCTGAAGTACCTAATTGCAATGCTGACAAAGTATCAAAACGGAGTAAGAATTCTTACAGGAGACTTGTCACGTCCAAACGATCACGAATCGCAACGACATTGAGAAAATTTGCGAGAAAAGAAACGAATGAAATACAGATAACTTACGTGCACTGAAGGCAAGGTCCAGACGCGGACCTGATGACTTCCCCGACACGGTACGCTTGACCGCGGATTTGACAGCCGCTTCGTTTCGCTGCGCCCTTGTATGCGTGAGCGTGGAAGTGTGGTGGTAACGTGGTGGTGGTCGTGGTGGTCGTCGTGGTGATGTTGAGCGACGTGGCCATCGACACCGGACACTCGTATCTCGGGCAACAGAAGCCACTGATAGGTTCCTCGTGACAACCTGGGATAGGTGGTGGGCAGCTCTGTTGCAAACAGATAATGTCGCTTCTGAAGCAGAAGCAGAAGTCGCAGGGGTCGTCTCTCGGGATCTGTTGCGCCGATACGTAGACCTTTCCGCCATATCGACAGGTGCCTGGTCCGTAAATAGCCTGGTCGTCTTCGTCGTAGTCTTCATCCGGGTTCAGATAGCTGCCACCGTGCGTTGGGAAGTGTGGGTTGTCTTCTCCTGTCACCGTCTGGTCCGGGTATTCGGGTGCCTGAGGTGTTGGGGTACTCGTGGGTCGTTCGTGAAGACTGGGTTGCACTGGTCGCGTAGTGGTTTCGTGCGACTGGTTCACTGCTGGATGATGCTCGTCGTAGCTAACCGGAAGTTCGAACCCAGCCTCGGATGATTCTTCCTTCTCGGTAGTCGATGGGGTTTCCGGTAATGCGGTTTCTCCGTGAGCTGGAAGACCTTCTTCTCCTTCTTCTTCTGGTTCCTCTTCGGTGGATTCCACGGGGGTTGGTTCCGTTGGAAGCGCGTGAATCTTCGTGATAGGCTCTTCGACGGGTGCCTCGGTTGCCTGTTGTTCAGGTTTCACGGAAGCTTCTTCCTCTTTGTGCTCTTCGGGAAGAGTTGGTGCTTGAACGGTGCTCTTCTCTTCAGGCTGTTCCGTGGTTGCTCGGACTGAATGCTCTTCCTCGGGAGTCTTCTCGGTTTCTGGGCGTTCCTCTGCTGCGCGCTCCGTAGAGACTTCGACTGCGGGTTCAGTGGAAGGCTGTGCTTCTTCCGTTACGCTAGGTTGCGCTTCGGTCACGCTAGGTTGTGCCTCAGTTACGCTGGTTTCAGCTTCTTCCGATGGTTGGCTGGGTTCTGCTTCCTTCGTCGTAGCTTCGTGCACTTCCGGCGCAACGGGAGTCTCGGTGGATTCGGCTGGAGATACAGGAGGCTGTCCTTCCTGCGGAGACGTCGCTTCGGTTTCAGCTGCTGGAGTTGTTGCTTGCGCTAACTCTTCTTCAGTGGTTGGAAGTTTGGTCGTCTTTTCTTCGACTTGAGCAGCTTCGGTCGTAACTGGAGTTTGTTCAGGTAGTTGTCCCTTAAGCAAAATGCTGTCTGTAGTTTGAGAAACTTCTTTCTCGGCTGGCACCGTTTGTTGTTCGCCTTCCACTGGTTCTCCTTCCAGAGGAACCGTTTCTGTTACTTGGCCGGGCTTTTCTTCGGGAAGGATTTTTTCTGTTACTTCAGCGGGCTTTTCTTCTTCGGGGGGAATCTTTTCCGTTACCTCGGCAGGCTTTTCTTCTTCGGGGAGAACCTTTTCCGTTACCTCAGCGGGCTTTTCTTCTTCGGGGAGAACCTTTTCCGTTACTTCGACAGGTTTTTCCTCTTCAGGAAGAGTCTTCTCCGTCACTTCGGCAGGTTTCTCTTCCTCGGGGACTTGCACCGGTTCTTCGGTAGCCTGTTCTTCCGATGCTTCAGTAGGCTGGGCTTTTCCTGGAAGTTCGCTATGAGTTTCTGGTGTTGCGGTAGCAAGCGTCTCTTCCGGCGCTCCAGTTGTAACTTCTTTCTCTGGAATTTCTTCTGCAGGAGTTGCTCTCTCAGGAACTTCGGTCGAATATTCTTTGCCAGGCGCCTCGGTCGTTGCTGCTTTCTCTGGTACCTCGGAAGGAAGTTCTTTCTCCGGAATTTCTGTGGAAGGTGCTATCTTCTCGGGAGCTTCGGTAGCTTCGATAGGTTTCTCTGTAGGTAATGCCTTTTCTGGTGCCTCGGACGGTTCTTGTCCCAATTCCGGAGTCTCGGTAGAGCCAGCCTCGGCAGGTGTCTTGGAAGCAGCTTCAGTGACCTTTTCGACCTCTGTTGCTGGAGTTGTACGTTCTCCCTTTTCTTCTTCTGCCGGAGTTCCCGTTGCTTCCTCTACAGATGGTGCTTCAGTCTGCTGTGCAACCTCAGGAGCGCCCTCCTCTGGTTTCTTCTCTGTCACGGAGGGTTGTTCTTCGGGAATTGGACTTACTTCGCTCGGCACAGTCGTAGCTTTCTCCTCCGTTACGCCTTCGCTCTCTGTCACAGGTTTCTGTTCCTCGGTTGCTTCCTCGGGTGAAACTGGAACACTTGGTATGGCCGTAGAACTAGCTTCGAGACTCGGAACAGGTGTTTCGCTAGCTTGCTCTTCACTCGTAGCTGTAACTCCTTCGCCTTCCGAAACAGGTGCCTTGGTTGGCTCTGCGGATGTCACGCCTTCCTCTACACTCGGTTTCTCGATTCCTTCCTCGGGTTTCTGTTCTTCCTCGGGAGCAACTGGGACTGTAGTTCCTCTCTCAGCCGGTATCGCGGATTCCGTTACTCGTTCTTCCTTCTCCGTAACTGGTTCCGAAACCTCGGCTTGTGTCGTAGTTTTGGGTGCTTCACCTTCGACAGGAACGGTAGGAGCTTCTTCGGTTACTGGCTGTTCTCCTGGCTGAGCAGGTTGTTCTTTGATTCCTTCGGTAACCGTTTCTTCGGTAGCAGGTGCTCCTGTTTCCCTCTCGACTGCTGGCTGCTCAGTTTGTTCCTGAGGCACAGTTGACTCTGGAACTGCTCTTAGAGTGGTGGCTTCGGGTGCTGCTTCTGTAATCGATTCCTGAGCAACGGCGGGTGACGTAGCCTCCTCTTCAGCGGATGAAACCGACGAGGGTGTCTGCTCTTCTCCCGATGGAGTCACTTCCAGCGAAGGTCGTGCAGTTTCCTGTTCAGGCTTCGTTTCGACAATTGGTTGTTCCTTGGTAACCGCTTCCTCCTCTGTCGTTACCTTCTCAGTAGGTGCCGGTGGTTGTTCAGTGCCTACCTCAGCAGCTTCGGTTGAACTTGGTACTTGTTCCTCTGGTACCTTCTCAGGTTGCTCCTCAGCAGCTTCCGTATGCTCCTCAACAGCTTCCGTGGTTGCCTTGACTGCACCCTCGGGTGCGACTGTCTCTTTGGTTTGCTCTTCTGCTGCAGTGGTGGGTATCGAGGGTTGTTCAGTTCCAGCGGGTACAGCTTGTTCCTCTTCTGGAGAAGGTTCTGGTTTCTTTGGAGCTTCCACCAACGGTGCAGTCGTTTGTTCTACAGGTGCTTCAGTGGCACTTGGTCCTTCCTTCGTTACTACTCCTGGTGCAGCTGTTTTCTCTGATACAGATACCGGGGCTTCCGTGGAGATCTCTAATCCCGTTGTCACAGGTGCCTCACCCTCTGCTGGTTCAGAGTTCTTCGCCTGTTGTAACCTCGTGTTCCGGAGTAGACGTTTCTACGGACGGAGGAGATGGCGCTTCGGACTCTGCTTCGCTCGGTTGGACAGTCTGCGATGCCTCTTCGGTGGTTGGCTGTTCAGGTTGAGCAGTTTGTTCCTCTTCCGAAGGCTTAGCTCCTGTCAGCTCTTCCTCTCCACGCTGAGTCACTGATACCGTGCTCGGAGTTGATCCTTCTTCCAGTGGTTTCTCAGTTTCAGCAGTTACCGGTGGTTCACCTTCCGTTACTCCTAATTCCGGTGCTACGGAAGAACTTGGGATTTCGGGTTCTTTAGGTTCATCGCTGGTACCTTCTTCTGGGATCGCAGGAGAAACGGTTGCCTGTTGTTCACCCTCCGTAGGTTTCTGTTCTTCTTCCGGTTGCTGTTCAGCGGTCGGTTTCGTCGTAGTTGGAGCTTCCTTTTCGATTCCAACAGAAGTTTGCTCTTCCTCGACTGCCTCTGTCGTTGCGATTGTCTGCTCTTCACCCGCAGCTGGACTCGAGGGTTGCACTTGAGGAGTTTGTCCTTCGAGTGGCTGCTCAGTTGATGGCATCTTCGTTGCTTCTTCTTCCGGTACTTCCGTGCTCTTCACCGAAGTGCTTGGTATTTCCGATGGAGTTTCTTTCGGTTCCTCTGCAGGAATTTGACTAGAAGACTCTACCTGCGCTGGGGGTACTGGACTAAGAGTATGTTCTTCAGTTTCTTTGGCAGCTTCTCCGACTGTAGTCGTTTGTACGTGCTCAGGTTCGGCTGATTTCGGCGTCGTTTGCGTTTCCTCGGTCAAACCAGGCGCGGCCGTCTCTTCGCTCGTCTCTTCAATGGGTACGTGCACTTCCGGCGCTATGGTAGTCGAGAGTTCTTTGATTTCGGGTTCTGGAGGTGCTACAGTCTTCTGTTCTTTCTCTTCTTCTTCGTACTTGGGTGTCTCGTGTTCGATCATGTGGTTATCGGACTCCAAGACGGCCGTAGGTGTCGAGTCGCAAGTGTACATCGGACAGCAAGAGTCTTTGCCAGTGTGAAGAGGCATGCAGTTCGATAAGTGACTTGGAGGCGGTGGGCACTGTACCAGATCGCAGTGAATAATGCTGCTAATGCAGTGGCACTGGAGTTGACATGGATTAGAGGGTGGAACAGCGGAGTTGTTGCCGTAAGACTGTCCTTCGATGAGGCAGTTGCCCTCTCCTGGAATTGTTGGTGGTAGGTACGGATGTTGAGTCGATGCTTCTACTTCTTCTTCTTCTGGAAGTTTTCCAGCCAGAGTAGATTGTTCGACCGGTCCTTCGGTCGTGACTTTCGGCGATGCTTCCGCGTATGGAGTAGTTTCTGGAATTTCTTCCTTGGCAGGCGCGGCAGTTGACGCTTCTGGGACCGCTTCTTTTGTAACTGGAGCCTCTGTTGCTTCTGTTTCTTTTTCCACGGATATTTGCGTTGTTCCCTCTTCCTTTGATGGAGCTTCAGTTCCGGCTTCCTCGGGAGTAGTTACCTTCTGTTCCTCTTCTGGTAATTTAGTTTCCTCGGCTGGTGCTACGGTCGTTTTAGCAGCTGCGGGTTCAGTCGGTGACACTTCGGGTGCTTCGGTCGTAATACCTGCTTCGGGGATTTTACCTTCTTGTTCGGTGGTTTCTGAGCTTGGAGCCATTGACGTTGCTACTTCGCTTGGTAATTCTGGTCGCTGCGTGCTGCCTTCGGGTTTTTCTTCTTCTACGGGTTGTTCCGGAACTTGTTTAGCAGGTTCTGTCGAAGGTTCTACGTGAGAAGTGGGAGACGCTGTTGATTGTTCTTTTGGTAGAGCACTTTCCGTCTGCGCTTCTTCCGTAGGTGAAACTTCTCCTTCGACAATGGGAGTGGAAGCTTCTGGAACTTGTGTCGAAACCTCAGGTATTTCTTTAGGAGCAGACGAGCTAGCAGGTTCTCCTAGGCTAGGTGCCTCTGTGGCTACTGCTTCTGTTGAAATTTCTACAGTTTCTTGAGAAGGTGTAGCTTCGCTCGGTCTTTCCTCTTCAGCTACTTCAGTTGGTTTTTCTTCTACAATTGGTCCTTCAGTTGGTTTCTCTCCCTCGACAGATACTGCAGTAGGTTGTACTTCTTCAACAGGTCCCTCAGTTGGTATTTCAGTTGGCCTCTGTTCTTCCGTTGGTTGCTCAGTCGGCCTCTGTTCTTCCGCCGGTTGCTCACTTGGTTTCTCTTCTTCTGTCGGCTGTTCAGTTGGCTTCTGTTCTTCTGCCGGTTGTTCAGTTGGCTTCTGTTCTTCTGTCGGTTCTACAGTTGGTTTTTGTTCTTCCGTCGGTTGTTCACTTGGTCTCTCTTCTTCTGTTGACTGTTCAGTTGGCTTCTGTTCTTCTGTTGGCTGTTCAGTGGGCCTCTGTTCTTCTGTCGGTTGCTCGCTTGGTCTCTCTTCTTCTATTGGCTGCTCAGTTGGTCTCTCTTCTTCTGTCGGCTGCTCACTTGGTCGCTGTTCCTCTGTCGACTGCTCAGTTGGCTTCTGTTCTTCAGTTGGCAATTCAGTTGGCAATTCAGTTGGCCTCTGTTCTTCTGCTGGCTGCTCGGAAGGTTTCTGTTCTTCCGTCGGTTGCTCACTTGGTCTCTCTTCTTCTGCTGGCTGCTCAGTTGGTCTCTGTTCTTCTTCTGGCTGCTCAGTTGGCTTCTGTTCTTCCGTTGGTTGCTCACTTGGTCGCTGTTCTTCCGCCGGTTGCTCAGTTGGCTTCTGTTCTTCTGTCGGTTGTTCACTTGGTCTCTCTTCTTCCGCTGGCTGTTCAGTTGGCTTCTGTTCCTCTGTCGGTTGCTCGCTAGGTCTCTCTTCTTCCGTTGGTTGCTCGCTTGGTCTCTCTTCTTCTGTTGGCTGTTCAGTTGGCTTCTGCTCTTCTGTCGGTTGCTCACTTGGTCTCTCTTCTTCTGCTGGCTGCTCAGTTGATATCTGTTCTTCTATTGGCTTCTCACTTGGTTTCTCTTCTTCCGTAGGCTGCTCAGTCGGCCTTTGTTCTTCCGTTGGCTCTGCTTCCTCACCAGGCTTCTCTTCTGCACTTGGTCTTTCAGTTTGCTGTCTTTCTTCAATAGGCTTCTCTTCCTCAGTAGGCTGTTCAGTTGGTTTCTCTTCCTCCCTGGGTGCTTCAGTTGATATACCTTCTTCACTAGATTTTTCTTCTTCCGCGGACACTGTAGTCGGTTTTTCTTCCTCGCTTGGTTTCTGCTCTTCGACAGGTTGTTCTCCTTCAACAGGTCCTTCAGTTGGTTTTTGCTCTTCGACAGGTTGTTCTTCGACAGCTCCTTCAGTTGGCTTCTGCTCTTCGACAGGTTGTTCTTCGACAGCTGCTTCAGTTGGCTTCTGCTCTTCAACAGGTTGTTCGGGTTGTTCAGTAACCATCCCTTCCTCTACTGGTTTTGCTTCCTCGGTAGGTCTTTCCGTTGGTTTCTCTTCCTGTGCAGTTTTACCTTCTTCGATTGGACCTTCTGTTGGTTTTTCCCCTTCCACCGGTGTGCCTTCTTCGAAAGGTCCTTCAGTTGGTTTTTCCTCTTCTATTGGTTTTCCTTCTTCAGTAGGAATCTCTGTTGGTCTTTCCTCTTCTGCAGGTTTTTCCTCCTCGAGCGGAACTTCCGTCGGTTTTTCCTCCTCAACAGGTTTTTCTTCAGCAACGGGACCTTCGGTTGGCTTCTCTTCTTCCGCAACCTTGCCTGCTTCAGTTGGTTCCTCGGTTGGCTTTTCTTCTTCTGCAGGTTCCTCTGCGCGTTTCCCTTCTTCTTCGGGTCTTTCAGTTGGTTTCTCCTCTTCTGTTGGCTTTTCCCCTTCTGCGGGTCTTTCGGTACGTGTCTCCTCTTCCACAGGTTTTCCTTCTTCGACAGGTCCTTCAGTTGGTTTCTCCTCTTCCGTTGGTTTCTCTTCCTCGACTGGTATCTCACTTGGCTTTTCTTCTTCTGCAGGTATCTCTTCCTCAGTTGGAGCTTCAGTTGGTTTCTCTCCTTCCTTAGGTTGTTCCTCTGCTGGCCTTTCGGTCGATATCTCTTCAACTGGTTCTTCCGATGGTTTTGCTTCTTCAACAGGAGGTTGCTCCACTTCAAGGGGTCCTTCAGTCGGCGTAATTTCCGCACCAGGTTCTTCTTCTTCGCTAGGCTTTCCGGTTACTTCTTCCTCGCTAGGCTTTCCAGTTACTTCGACTTCTCCTGGCACTGCAGTCGCTTCTTCCCCTCCTGCAGGTTGTTCAGTTGGCTTCTCTTCTTCAAGAGATGGCTTCTGAACGCCTTCTTCGCCTTCCTTTCCAGGCGGTCTTTCCGTAATCACGTGCTCATCCTCTTTACGTTCGCTAATTGGAGCCTTAGTTGGCACGTGCTGTTCAAGCGGAGTTCGAGTTTCTTCTTTTTCCAATCCTGCCTCGGTCACCGATTCTTCCGTGGATGGAGATACAGCTACTGGTCCTTCCGTTCCACCTTCTTCCTTCGATGGTGCTTCTACCTTTCCTTCTTCTTGCGGTCCTTCCGTCGGGGTCTCTTTGGTTATCGGTTCTTCCGTCTGTTCAACAGCAGGTTGCTCCATAGACTCGGGCGCTTCTGTCCCCTTCTCCATCGATTCCTGTGTTGGTTCAACTTCTACCGTCAAAGTACCTTCCGTTGGTTTCTCAGCCTCTGTCGTTTCTTCGCTCACCGACGAGCCCTCGATTTCTGGAGTAGTAGTTACCTCTTTCAGCCCTTCCTCAACTGTAGGTTTCTCGCTTCCTTCTGCACCCTCGCTGACAGCCACCTGGGTCGTGCTAATTTCTTCACCCTCAGCAGGCTTGGCAGTGACGGGAACTTCTACCTCGCTAATAACTGGTTTCTCGGTGACTTGTACCTCGGGTGTTTCCGAACTGACACTAGGCTTCTCGCTTGGCAAAGCTTCCTCTGGCGTAACGGTGGCGTGTTCCTCTTCCCCAGCGGTAGGTTCCTTCTCAGGTGCTGCACTGATTTCCGTGGCCTGTTCTTCGACCTGTGGAGCCTCCGTTGAAGGAGTCACTGGAGCACCCTCGGGTCTCGTGGTCTCAGCTTCTGCGGTTTGTTCCTCGACAGCTGGTTGCTCAGTTGGGTGCTGCTCGGTTACCGGTACCTCGGCTGGCGTCTGAACCGGTGCCTCGGTTAGCTGCTCCTCGGACTCTTCCTCTGCCCCTCCCACGCTCGGTTTCTCCTTGGATGGGAAAACTTCCTCGCTGGAATCGTTCACTTCCTCGGAAGAGGTCTCTCCAGATTCTTCGATAGTCAGTCCCTTGGTGGGCAATTCTTCCGCCGAAGTCTCCTTCGTGGGTGAAACTTCGGAAGACGATGACTCGGTACTCTGTTCCTCTGGCAGACTGGGTTGTTCGGTCTCTTGAGTTTGTTCCTTCGTTGGCGCTTGCTGCGTGGAAATTTCTACAGCAGGACTAGACTCCGTGCTCCCAGGCGCAGCTTCCGTTACCTGTTTCTCTTCAGCCGGAGTCTGACCAGCTTCCGTAACCGAAGGCTTAGCTTCTTCAGCCTTTTCTGGCTCCATCGAAGTGGGTGAAGGTACTTCTCCTGGGACCTGAGGTTCCGTCGTGGATTTCTCTCCGGCTGGTACCGTCAACTGATCGGGGGCAGTCGTTTCTTGCACTGGAGGCAGGTACGTGGATGAACCCTTGTCGGGAGTTTCAGTCACAAGACTGCTCGGAATATGGAACTCTGGTGGCTTCATGTCTACGTAGCCTTCGGTAATGTGAACCTCTGTCACAGCTTCCTGGTCCTCTGCTTTGCTCTCGGGTACACGTTCCGTGATGGAAATACTCGGTGGCCCACGTTCCGGAGTCACGGGTGCTTCCTCCTTCGCGTGATGCTCTTCGGTTACAGGTGGTAGTTGGCTAGTTTCCGGCGCTTCTGGAGGAATCGTGTCTTCCTTCTTGGGTGCTACACCGGGTAGTTCTTCGGCAGGCTTGTATTCGTGTACCGGTAATTCTGTCTTCTGTTCTACTGCGCTTTCGGTAGTTGCCTCTTCCGTGCCGTGTTCCACTGAGACACTAGCCTCCGTGGGCGTTTGCTGTGTCTTCGCTTCTTCTCCTCCCTGTTCAGGAACTTGTTCCGTGCTTGGAACTTCTTCAACAGGTTTCTCAGTAGCCGCTTCCGCTTCGGGTGTGGCGATTTCTTCCGGTTTTTCTTCGCTAGGTGCCACTGTCGATATTCTCTGTTCCGGCTCTGAGACAGCTACAGGAGTTTCCGCTTCTTTGGCTGCTTCCGTCACTTGCTCCTCACCCAAGCTCTCAGCCGTCGTTGCTTCTGCTTCGGGAACAGCAGACGTTTCCTTCTCTCCTTCTGGCAGTTCCGCTGCTTGCGTAGGTTTCTCGATTTCGACGACAGGTTGCTCCTCTTTAGGTAGGGTAGCTTCAGTAGCACTCGGCTCGTGTTCCAAACCAGTCACGCTCTCTTCCGTTGGTCTAGCTTCTTCTTCCCTCTCAGTGCTCGGCACCTCAGGCTGTTCTCCCTTCTGCTCCTCGCCTTCGGTTTGTCCCTCTGGTAATCCTTGTTCGGTGACTGCCTGTTGCTCTTCTTCCGCTTTCAACGTAGTCGCTGCTTCCGGTGTAACCTCCAATTTCGGCGAGGAAGATTCCGGTACTTCTTGAGAAACCGATGTTTCCGTGACCTCTTGAGTAGTTTCTTCAGCAGGCGTAGTAGCTATTTCTTCACCCTTCTCTTCGACGATCGGTGCTTCCGTTGCTTCGCCCTCTTCTTCCCGAGGAGCTTCAGTTGGCCTAGCAGCGCTGGCTTCCGTTGCAGATGGAGCACCCTCTGTCGCGTATTCCTCCGAGGTAGCAGTTTCTTTCTCAGTCGTCGCGGTCTCTGGAGCAACAGTTTCTTCAACCGAGGGAACTCCTTGCGACGTTTCTTTCTTGGGTTCCTCCGTGATCGGTGCAGCTTCGGTGGGTGGCTGAGTGCTTGCGGTCTCGTGGTCTTGGGGAATGACGTTGTCGGAACCTGGGAAGGATTCTTCCATTGTATCAGGATGCCATGCTTCTTCCTCGGCTTCCGTTGCGGTCGTCGTTGTAGTCTCCAGAACGTGTTCCTCCGCGGGCTGCTCCTCACCTCTGGGTAACGTCACTAGTCCACCATGTCCGTCATCTTCTGTGCGATAAAAAACATTTATATAGAACCTGTTTGGCGATTATGGGGGCGTTTGCTGCTCCCAGGCAGCGTGATAGAGGACCAAGTTCCTTACCGCACTGATACGTGGTCGGGCAGCACTCTCCTTCCGGCGGTGGCAGAGCTGTGCAGTTCTTTCCGTGAGTCTTCATCGGTGTTCCGCAATCTTGAACAGCGCACGCGATGTCACCACGGAAACAATAGCAATGTTGACAGGGCTGAGTCAAGTATATCAAGTCACCGTCCTCGTAAACCTTTCCTTTGTGGTAGCATTGCGGCGTTGCTCCTGGGGCTATCGTGGTGGTCATGATCAGGCCAGGCGTTGGTTCAACCGTCGTGGAGAGATCCTCGTCGTATTCTGTGAAAAGTCCGTGAAAGTGCGAAGATGAATTTTCATCCGTAGCTGTTCGATCGTTTAATAAATAACTCGAAGACTTCCTAGCTACGTGGGTATACTGCTAATTGCCTCTGACATAAATAGACTTCCCTATCAAACTTCTTCGGACTCGAATACACGACTGGGAACACTTATTCAATTTACTGTAATGGCTGTTAAAAATTCTGCCAAGATCAATCTCGATCTACACGTCGGTTTCTTGCCCTTCGCTATCTATGCGCTATCTAAATCACGCTATAAATATCACGCCGGCTTCTCAGCTGCATCGGTGTGTGCTACTCGGTAGTTGTACTATTTTCTCCACATATAAATCAACTCCTCTGTCAAACTTCTTAGCAGGCTAACACATGGCTGGAAACATTCGTTAAGTTTTTTACAACGTTTATCAAGAGATCAGCGAAGATCAATCTCTAGGTAGAACTCAATTTGTAGCTTGTCCTTCGCTATCTGTGCTGCATCTAAATCACCCTATAAATATCCTCGAGACTCCTCGGTTACATCGATATTCCGCTTCTTTCCCCTAACGCGGGACACCGACTCCCTGACAAACTCCTCGAAACGTCAACGCGTAAACTGAATAGGTTCAACTTTCCAACTTACCGCAATTGTATTTGACAGGACAGCAGATTCCCGGTTGATAAACAGGCCTGCATCCAGCCACGCGCAAAGTGCACTCCTGCATGACACAAGTGGTCCTGTTCCTGATACAGTAGCAGAGCTCGCAAGGGTTCTGTGGATCGATAGGCAGTTGGGCACCGTCCGCGTAGAACCGATCCTCAACGTTGCAGCCATAGTTATCGTGGAAGCCTATTGCCGTGGAACCGGAAGTCGCTGGGGGGCTAGTAGTCGAGGTGAGCAGTTGCACCGGCACCTCGGGACAGGTGATGACTGGACAGCACTGATCAGGACGCTTCTCGACGGTGCAGTCTTGGCCGATCGCCTTCGTGAAGGGACAGACCCTCAGGTAACACATCAGCATTCGATTGTGACACGTGCAGTTGAGGCATGGCTCGTTCGTGACGATTCTATCGCCCTCATCGTAGTGTTGGAAGTTGTAGTAGCACCCGGCTGTGGCTGTGAATTTTCGTGCAACGATTAGAGCAATCTTTTCATTTTTATTTTATCCTTTTTCCAGAACGGATTATCAAAGATGCGAGAGTGCGAACTCGATGAACGAGGAAGATAGGATTGAATGGAACGACGTATGCTCCCGAGTGGTGAATTGTGTGACGCGTGGGTGTTGGAAGCGGTGCACGACGTTCTTAATATTCATCGAAAGGATCGATTGAAAGCGATGTCGTGTAAGAATCGTTAAAACGGCACGTGTCGTCTGTTCCACTGCGATACAATTAAACTCACGTCGGTGGCGTGCGTGTACGTTGATTAGGAGTAATGAAAGTCGTCGCGTCGTACGTACCTCCATCGTATTCTGCTACTTGTGTGGTATCGTGGTCGTATACGGGCGCTGTAACAGAAAAAATCGCACGTTTTATTGCCGTATCCCCGTGTATTCGATTACACGCGATGTACGTAATGTACGTTGGTATCGGATTAACCTGAACGCTATAACGACGCCATGAACAACTCCATCGGTGTGTATTAGGACGACCGGTGTTGTGTAAAACGCGACAAACGACGGGGATCATCGTGTAAATTATCGATCAGTCGCGAATTTGTATTCGCGAGGGATAAGGATGTAAAATCGGCAGTAAAAGTTCGTAAAAGTTATTTTTATATGTACAGAGACGCGATGAATTATGAATCGCGCGTTGATCTGCGGAATTTCGTGATTTAAATATCGGAAAAATTTTTGGATTAAATCAACCTGGTCTTCTTTTGGTATAATAGACTTTCATCTTCGATATTTATAACGTCGCTCGTTAATGAACGATAAATTAATTACTGTAATGGAAGTTGAATTTACTACTTCCTTATGGAGCCAGCAGATTACTATAAAAATCCTCGATGGTTATAAAATATTATAATTTACGATTATAATCCCAGCCAGAGTCTTTTTAATTTAATTCTCGGTTTTAGGAATTAATCATACTGAATATAAGGAGCTTTCCAATCAACCAGTTCCAGGAGCTTCGAAAATTACGAACGTCAATTTTGTTACCCGTGCATCGGATGGTGAAAATCGATTTAATCTACTATAATATTCCATTAACCATGGTAGCAATAACCACGAGAAATAAAATCATCGCAGATCCCATCATCCATAATTCCATAATTAAATTACGTCCTCTTAACACTAGAACTAGTCATCTGTAATGTGCACGTGAATACAGTATATAGGTATACGTAATATTAATTAAAGTCGTACGATAAAACTAAATAGACGTATGTAATTACGTTCCTACTTCAATAAAAGTCGATATTAAATTTTCTCAAAGCCATTGCACAAACAAAATGTCTGGAACTAGTTATTTTGATAATTCCAGGGTTAAATAACCCGACATTACTGTCAGATTTTTCCCCAACCTGAAATTGTTACTAGATTTCGATTTCTTCGATATTATCACTAGAATTATCGAGTTAGTCGAAACGATTGTTTAATCCTTTTGTTCCCACTTATAATTACGTTCTATGTTTGTTATTTAGGCTGTCCTGCTTATACATTTTCATACCAACTTTGCCAAGATATTCTACGAATGAAAGTGAGATTGGAACGAGACGTAACAGGGTGTCCTCAAGTTATAATAAAAATATGAATCACGGAGATAATAGTATTTTCTTCAGTTCGATACAAGGTAATTCGAGACACGTAATGTTTACGTTACCTATTAATAGAAGTGAAATTTCCAATAAATTTAATAGCACATCGTTATCAGGCTTGTGTCGATCAAGGCGAGCGACATTTCACAAAGAAACCCAGGTATTTTACGTTCTCCTTACACCTTCTAATTAATCACCGTTCACATTTTTTATTACACGACATTCCACTTTTATTTCTCTCGCGGATCGCGTCTGCAAGATTTGCAGGATATATTATCAGACAGCACCGGTTGCAACTAGATTCGTCATTAATCAATAAAATGAGCGATAAAATAAAACTGCCATTACTACTACGATTAATTTTCTAATCTACGATACGCCTATAGTGAGAGACTCGCATCACGAGACACCATCGCATACACGATCGCGATAAAATAAAATTGTCCCTGGCAGTAATAGGAAAAAGTGGAATGATCGAATTACCTTTGCACCTGAACTGCGATTAATTTTCTATTTTACGATGCTTCCAAAGTGCTAGACGCGTAATCACTGATTTGCAATTGCAGATACGCAGACAGAGATGAAGATCGCGGGACCAATATCGAGATTCCAACGCGCACATTGTAGTAGCTGCGGTGCGAGCCTAAGTAATCTTAGGAACTCCATTTCCCATGAAATTCGCAGGGAGACGAGCCGTGTCTGTGCATGCAGTTTATCATAGTAATTACCGGCGGGATGCGTTTGTCCGGAGGGTGAACCGGAGGCTTAACAACGGAGTGAGTCAAAGCGTCATATGGCGCGAGCGTACGTGGGCGAATTCTCGTTAACACCCTCGCCCCAGTCGAACGAATTGTATGGCGAGTGCACATGGAATACGGAATTCTTTTTTGCGCTCTGTTCTTCCCTCTGTCCGTCTCTATCCAGCCAGTTTCGCAACGTCCACACATTGACGCTGGAAAACGCACGTGCACGCGGAACACTCGCGCCCTCTGCCTCTGGCGGCCGCCATCTTGTTTCCGCGACGCGGGGCGGCCTTTTCGCAATTTCTTCCGAGTCAAAGTGTCGTACACGGCACTCGAGAGCTCGATCGTTCGTGAAACTCGACACGACACCCTCTGCTGAGCACAATCGCCCTGCTATTCTTCGGATTCGCGCGACAAGCTTCCCTATCCGCCCGTTGGGGTCTTCCCGAGTCCCCGAAACACGGCTTATGGCGAATCTCGACGAACGTTGTCGTTCAATGGCAACTCGAGGGTAGCATGATTAATCGCATGAAATTTCTTGCTTATTCAGGTGAGAAGGTATTTTGATTTCCAAGCTGCAAACGATTACGTTGATACGGAGATGATCGCGGGCTAGGTAGGGTACAAGGTGGTCGATGTTCTTGTCCAAGGAGGCAAATTTCGAAATTTTGTGGAAAGCTAGGGTGTTTCTGTCGATGGATATTTGGCAGAGATTATCAGAGGGAATATGGAGAGTGTACGAATTCGCAAATGACGCGTCGTCCTCTTTTCGAAAGTCTCTGCTTGTACTTTTTTCTTTGAAAACCGTCCAGGAACTCTTTGACATGCGCAAAACGTCTCCGTACGCGGATACGTGCATTGCGAGACGAAGGATTCGAATGTCCAAGCATAATCCCTTCATTGAACGTACCGAGCTGGCAGATTTATTACACGGCGCTGAAGATGCTTTGAGAACGTTTTTGCGGGCTCGAATGAGGACCGCCACTGTTTTAAATCGACTTACTCGATAGATTTTAATACCCCTCGCCATCAACGGGGATCGAAAGTCCGAGATCATCGATCTATGTTCAACGAAATAGTACGAAGACCGAACTCGTTACTTGACTACAGCCTGCCTTAATTTCGCTATCTCGAGATCAGGATCGTTTAAGTAGAAAGTTTCATGTTTCGACATCTAGTAGTTACTATTTACCTGGCACGTCAGATTTCTCGCAAATTTCTGCAAATTTTGAAACAACGTTACTCGCGATTTTTATTGAGGTTCATCGTTATTAAACTGCGCGAGGAGAGTACGACTACTAAAGTAAGTGGACGTGACTGCAGGTGTGCCGAAAATGTCTGCATAATTTGTCTGGGTTGGAGAAGCAGATTGTGCAATACTGAAAGTGAGAGTATGCAAGCGTAAGTAGCTACTTATGTATTATGTAGAAGACACGTAAAATTAACATGAGTGTCGATTTCTATCGTCGAGTCGAGTTGTCTGAATCGGCACATAATCCTGCATTTAATAATTAGGAGAATCTCATTTAGGGAATCGTGCTAGCCCTTCATTGCCCCATAAATACACAATACATTCCTAACTTTAACATCGAAACAATTCTCTTCCCCGTAACCCCGAATTTTCTCAAAATTCGTACGTCAAATCGAGATATCGTGGAATTATATAGGACGAGAAAGACAGTTACCAGAGAAAGAAATTTCAAAATTCGAACATTAATGTACATTACTCGATACTTCCGAATCCGAGATGAAATTACTCCTACATTGTCGTAGAGGTTGTCAGAGGGACGTGAAAAATAGCGATTTCTCGTGCATTCGGCTAGGAATGGGATCAGTGTCACGCGTCGTCTCGAGCGAAGGAAGCACGTCCGCGATTGGTCTGTGGCTGGGAAAGCGCGAGGCCTGCCGATCGGAAGTCGATCCGCGACTCGAAGGCGCGAGGTTGAAATGCGCGGCGCGTGCGTTTCCGCAAGGTGTTCCCGTGCAGCACGGCGAAGATTCGCGTTTCCATACGTGAGTCGCGCGGCGAGCCAAGGCATATTCGAGAATCGGCATTCTGCGGCGCGGGGCGTCGGCGGAGGGCGGCGGTTTCCAGCGAATTGAATTGTACTGAGAAGCACAGCCGAGGTCCGTGAATGGAAGGGCCATCCGTGTCTCTGTCGCGAGTCCCACGAACGGATCCCAGCCGCGTGCCTCCACGTTACACGGGCCCAGCACGTACCACGTGTATACGCGTGCATATGTATACCTATATGTAATATACATACGTATATGCACATATTGCTCTACAGAGACGATTCCTGTCTTGGACGGTGGCCGTGCTAAATTATTGCGACCCTCGGACCAAGCTCTGCCGGATTCTTCACCGAGGTGTCGGCGTGTCGCGCGTGATTACAATGTCGGATCACCTGGTACCCATTCAGCGGGGACGAGCGGAGGAATTTACGGCAAATGATCGGTTTCTTTTTTTTTTTTTTTATTTTCGGTCCCGTGGTAAGAACAGCAAAGAAATTTGCTCGACGTTCTGCTAGGAACCCGTTACGTTGGTTATCAACGAATGGGCGGACGACAGGTGCGAGGATGGAGCTTTTTGCCTCGTCGCGATAAATGATTTGTTCGCTCGCGACGACCGACAGCAGGCATACCGGTTTCTTCTGCGCTGGATTTTCGTGTAGCCGCTGGAAAAAGCGCAACCCGTTCCACCCGTGATTCGTTACTGATCGATTCCATGGCGACGGGGACGAATTAAGTGGAATAAATTGACGGGCTGAGTAACGGGACTGTTGTTCTTCGGAGGATGTCGTGTCGAGCAGTCGTTGTTGTAGCATGTTTTAGCGGATTTGCCGAGTACTGCAGCGGTTACTGGTCGCCATGCTCTGTAATTAAGCTTATTCGAAGCAGTTCTTTGATAAGTGAGCCTATTGGTCTCTGCTCTGATGTCTTACTCGAAGATTGAAACCGGGTATTTATCGTTTAATGCGTGTACTGGTACTCCTGTGTAATC